TTGGACGTAGCCTGCGACACATCCACATGAGGAGCACAGGTGCAGCAGTGTATACTGTGCCTTCCTGCTTTCTTAGATGTGGCGTTAACATTCTCTCCCACGGACCTTTGAGCTGCACTTTAGCGCATCTGGCCGCGCAAGTTCGAAAACATAAGCTGGCCGTAGCCGTCCCTCAATACAGTGACAAATCTCTCAAGAGCAGAAGTGGCATTCACTCTTTGGGGTTTAGGAGGGAATGGGGGAATGGATCCCTATAGTAGTTCCTATATAATCCCCAATAAGAATCCCCATGATCCATTCCCCCCTTCCCTCCAAAGCACCAGGGAGATAATCGCTACATATCCCTATATACCCCTATATAACCCATTATAGCAGTTTCCACTTGCTTTTCCATTATCCCAATATAACCCTTACAAAACCCTATAGGGAGTTCAGGAGCCGCACCTCGCAGACCCTCCTCCTCTGTCATGGCCTCACAAGCCGTCTCCAGGCGCATGGTCGGAGGCGGCTGGCTTGCCTTGAGATATTAGGATGATATAGGTTAATATAAGTTAATAGACGTTAGTATAGGTTAATATTAGGCTAATATGGGTTAATATGGGCTGATATTGGGTAATATTCGAATAATGGAAAAGACATGGAAACTACTATAGTATGTTGGGGTTAATATGTGTTCATATGGGATAATGTGGATGAACATGAGGATACTGGAGAATCAAATGAAATGGAAAAGAAAATGGGAAATGAAATGGAAACGGGGATTACATGGGGTATAGGGATCTCCCCAAATTAGGGGTACCGTCTTAAAAAATGGTGACTAGAATATATTGGGGGTTTCTGGGGCTTATCTTGGGGAACTACAATATGATACATTGCAACAGGATCTTCACGTGAGAATCCCTATAGCAGTCCCCTTTAAAATCCCCCACAAAACCCCCCTTTCAAGAGTTTAGACCCTAAACCCTAAACCCCCTATATAAACCCCTGTATAAACCACTTTTAAGGAGTTTAGACCCTAAACCCTATATAATCCCATGTATAACCCCCCTTTAAGGAGTTTAGACTATAGCTCACGTGGATCTCTCTTTGCAGTCAGATGACAGCGCGTCGACGGAGCCCAACTCGCGAGATGGGTGCCTGGTCACACAAGGGGTGCCAGAGTTATGTTTATAGGTGTTATTTAGGGAACATATAGGAACATATAGGGAATGTATACCTGTAAGGTTTAGGGTTAAGGATTTGGGGGTTTGCCAAAGTTAGGAATGCCTTTTTGGGGTGTCCCAGTAATGAAGGTTTAGGACATTTTGACGGCTATTGGGGTCCCCTATTTAGGGAAAGTACCTCATGGAGCAAGACTTCCTGGGAGCATCTTTCTTCACGCTTCGTAGCCTGGCGTGGCTACAGCCACTTGTTTCCGCCTCACACGGACCTAATTCGAGATATCCTTCAAACCTCCCAAAAAGCATCTCCCCCCCACCTCGTCAATGAAGGTCCGGCTGTAGACAAAGGTCATCTCCGAGCCTTCTGTACCTCTGGGACATGGAGCTTCACCTTTTCAAGAGCCTCGAGCACCAAGTTGGAAGCAACTAGTCTTAGGTCCAGTCTTTTCATTTCCAGCAGTACAGTATACATATGCCCTTTGGCCACTTCTGCAAGCAGCATCATGCAGCCAATTTCCGTGACCCCCTTTCGTAGCTGCCTACTGCCTTCATCATCAACTGAGGACACTGCTGGAGGCATGGTAAATGTGCAGACAGAATTCAGCAAAGAGTTGAGACAAACAGCTTCCCCGCGTATTTGACAGAGCATGTCCGCTGCTTCAATCACAAAAGGCTTCCCTTCACTATGCTATGCAGAAGTTGGAACCAATTGTGCCAGGGCGTGGGCAAGTACATTTGTCCTCTACTGGGGCCCCCCATATGATACAGGAATCAATACCACAAGGACGTCCAAAGCTCACCAGAATGTTGGGGAACATCCAGCGCCTAAGGTCATGCACGTCAGGGCACCGGCGTAGGTGGCCATGGCGAGAGCGAGAAGGCAGGTGAGCGTCTAAAACTGCAAAAACACTCCAATAAAACCAAAAGGTCTGCGGAGATCAAGTTTTCTCCCAGTAATAGCTTTCATCTGTAAGGAAGATCCTACACGCCAGGGCACCTTGACTTTATAAACTCATGATAAGGGAAAGGCTCCCTACAAATTCCAGCGAGGATGGATTCCTCCTTTGTTCTGCATTCGGAGCCCCTGAGGTCCAGTGCTGCCTGGGTAGGTCGGCCCCATGAGGAGCTCCTCGGCTTCACATCTGCTGCATCTTGTAAAGAATGTCTTGGCGCGAAAGACCAATGCAATCAACTTAGTGAAGCTCACCCCCCCCCCCCTGTGCAAACGGGTAGAAGTATATATTTAAACAAGTCGTGCCTATCCAAGAAAGCCTGTGTGAAGCAGCGAAAAAGGCCAGTCTTGGGTTCGAGCTCATCCTTCAGTTTACTTGCCTGATCACTCGCAACACATTGTTGGCAGATGTGGCAGACATCTGAAGCCGGCCAATGATGACAGAAGTTATGCCAAAGATTCTTGAAACCAGTGGGGTTCTTACAGGAACCCCTGACCATTGGAAGCCGTCGATCAAACAAGCAAAACTGCCCTGTGTCACATGTCAACAAACAGAGACTGATGCAACCACCACGGACGAGAATGGAGACTAGTTTTTCAAGGTTGCAACAGTACTGTGTGAGTCTGGACCAGCATTACTGGATCACGATGGCAAAAACGGTTTGTCCACGCAGCTGGCTGTTCACTTGAGTTTCTGCCGCTCGCTTGATGGCGTTGGTACAGGATTACTGCCAACACAAATATGACTGGGCCTTCTGAAAGTGGCAGTTGTTGAGTGAAAGGTCTTCCGCACTCTCCGCACGCAACACAAATTGTGGTTCGACCCCCTGTGAGGTCTGTAGCTGCGTGCTTCATGCTCTGTGCAGGGCCGGAAAAGTGCCGGCCAGGTTGCGAGCGCGAGAAAGAAAAAGAGAAAGGGACAGAGAGAGAGAGAGAGAGAGAGAGAGGGAGAGAGAGAGAGCGAGAGAGCGAGCGAGTCAGCACCATGCTTGACGAACTCTTGACTACTTCTTTGACGCAGGCCGTGGCCCCGGACACAGGTTCCACACATTTTAGATTTCCAGTGCAAAACTGATGCAGCATTACAATCTCGTGTTCTATGCAGGTTCTGCACATCAGGGCAGCGATCTCAGCCCCTTAGTGAAGCATGCTACTGCTCTTGAGGTCACCCAGCTTGGCCTGTCGCAGCTCATCGGCAGAACTCGTGGTCCTGTGGTGGCATCCAGGGGGTCACTGCCAGCTTGGGGATAGTTTGGGATGAAGCATCAGCCAAACAGGACGTCACTCTACGTCAACCACAGCCATGAATAGGAAAAGCCTGAAGAGGGGAAGGGTGAGTCCGCTCAGCCACAGATCTCTGAGTCAGCTCTGAAGAACCTCAACTTCCACGAACCCCAAATCAACAGAACCTTCCTGGATTGCATGCGCTTCTCAGAGAGGGGGCTCAAGAGCAGATCACCTCATAGCAGGCAGCTCATGCGCTTGAGGCTAGAGCAGCTGTTAGCGTCACAAGACGGTTCTGTGCAGCTTTGATTCAGCTTGGATGGGATGCAATGAGAAACGTCCAATGCACGTGAGTTGACAAGTTGGTGTGCTCCTGTAAGATCTATTGCGTAGACATGCCCACACGGCAAATGATTTCACCAACTCTCATCGGTCTCCAATATGAAGCCCAAGCACAAAGCCTTTGCACGTGTGACATGCGATCAGGTGATACAAAAACACTTGAAAGTCAGTTCTTGGGCGCGCACGCGGAGCGAAAATCATGCTTGAGTCGTTGCTTGGCGGGTCTGTATCATCCTTGGACGCTCAACACGGAAGACTGAATGCCATGGTGAACGAGACATGTGCGCCGCAAACAAACCCCTTTGATCCCCTCTGTCTGGCCTTCTGAACATATAACCTCAACAGATAACAAAAAAGTGACTTAAGTCTGAAGAATAAAATGCGGCCAACCAGCTTCACTGTCATCCCTCTGATCGTCTGCGCCCTCCAGGTCTTTGGACACTTGGTCAGACGGGGAGGTGACCTTCAGTTGTCCACGACATGACTTTGTGAAGTTAATTGCAACTTGATGGAGCGGTAAATCTGATGCTCTGCCCATGGCCCTAAAGCTGAGATGCTGCAAAGGTGCGGCACCCCGACGTGAGGCGGCTGATGTCATTGCAGGCCCATGAACGCTCTCAAGAATCCACTCGTGACGAAGAGCCTGGCAAAAGCTGACTTCATCTCCTACAGAACTCTACCTAAGACGTGATTTCCCACCTGACTGCGTGGCAGATGTTCTTGGCGCAAGGGATCGAATCTCTAAACCAGCATACCCAATCTTGCATCACAATCTAGCACAAGAACCGCCTGAAACCAAGACTTGGATATGTTAGGAACGTTTGCCGCAACAGCCTTGGCAGAACAGCGCTTCTTGTGTCGGATTCATTCCGGTTCAGTGCATTATGACGGTTGCTGGCTGATGTGTTGTGTGACATGACAACTCCTGGAAGCTAAGGGGCATCCATCTTGTTGGCAAAGAAGACAGCGCGTTGGCTGAGAGTTAGGATTTTTTATCTAGCCTGGGCACTCCAAAGTTCCTGCATGACTTTGCGTTTTGCCGTGGCCCTTGGAAGGTTTTGCCGCTCCGGTTCAAGCTGGGTAGAGCACAAGGCTCAGAAGATTGCGCACCAGTGCAGAAGTGCTGGATGCCCTATAATCAAAGGACGCACTAGAAAGCTGTTGGGAATTCTTGTGAACACGACTCTTTTGCCAACATGTCCAACGCCCAAGGATTCAATAAACGAAGCACAGGGAAACCTGAGGACTTCTGACGGAGTCATAGCTGCCAGCATGCACTGGCTATCGGCCCCTCTCCAGCACACCATGGGTAGGAGCAGAGTCTACTGTGCAACTGAGGAGATGACTTCAAGCAGTCTGCTTCCGTATGCCTGCTCATCCCATTCCAGGGCCTTCTTCTGGGCTGACACACCCACTGATTCCAGCTCTGGACTGCGCAGGAAGCTTGTAATGGCCACAACAGCATCCTCTGACAATTCATTCTCATCAGGCGGCATGTCGACACACAATGATTCAGACCCGAGAAGAGCCCATGCACCGACTGACTCACCTGCAAGAACAGAAGGTGCGCCACAAGCAGCCGCCTCCACTAACGTCATGCCATACGCATCGTAGGCACAGGGATGGAAATTCAGAGCAGTGCGAGCGAAAACAGCGGCCAGGGACTTGGGGGATAGGAAACTGTCCAGTATTATGGCTTCAGGGGCGATTTTTCTTAAGTCAGCTTTCAGTGCTGTTGCGTAAGACTCTTCCGCACTGGCACCTGCCAGAAGTGGGATGAATCCCAGCTGCTCCAGGGCGCTTTTGGCTTTCTCGACAAAACGCAGGAAACGGAAGACATTCTTTTCGGGCGAGATACGTGCTACGCAGGTCACAAGCAGACGCTTCCTGGGTGTTAAAGGCCCAGGCCATGCCTTTAGGACTTCTGCGGGCAGAAACGTGTCGAGCTCTTCTGAAGTTGTATGTAATGTATGCGCAAGCTCCTGCATATCACCTCGCAGTGGTGGCAAGAGCAGCTCAATCTTGTCAGAGCAGAAGCTCGTTATTCTTTGAATGTTGATCCTGTCCATCTGCGACAGAACTACAAGCACAGAGGCATTCTCAAGGGCATGTCTCTCCATGTCATCGAACCACTGTCTTCGCCCTTCATCTACCACTCCAGAACTGTACACGCGAAAGTTCATGTAGACCAGAGGCTTGTCTTTCACTGCGAAGGACTTGTATGCATGCGCTCCAGTCCAGTCGATTGCCAACACTGCATCTGCATCGCGCACACATCCTGCCAACAGCAGCCGCCCATGTTCATCCAAGTTGCCAAAAGCAAACTGATCCCAAGCAGACTTGTCGTCCAGCTTGCACCAACCATCGCCCTTTGCAAGTTGTAGCGGAATCAGTGTGAGTCGGCCAGCAGCCTCTTCCGAAATTTCGGGAGTCGACAGATGGTGGTCGGTTCTTTGGGCTTCTTCACTGGGCCGGCAGCAGAGCACACAGACATGGCAACCTAGTTTCAGAAGGGCCTTGGCAATGGAACGCGCTAAGATGCCATTGCCGCTGAAGGGGCTGTAGGTGAACTCATAGGTTACCAGCACGAGTTTGAAGAGATGCCTGCCCTCAGCTCCATCTCCCGACATGGCCCGCAGGAAATGTCCGAGACAAGCAACAAACAACTATTCCAAAGGAGAGTTGTCCGCATCGCCACCAGCTAAGGACATGTTCTAGGCAACGCTTGCGCTTGCCATTTTCAGGTTCGAAAATCTTAAGCAGAATCATCCAGCTACAAGCACTTATCCGTCACTGGCCGCCTTATGACTTGATCCAGCTGCAACATCCACAGGATTGGAAGTTGAGCACAATCAGTCTTAAAGATTCAACACTCGTTCCGCCTCCTCAGCCGTTGCCCTGCTTCCAACGTCACGGCCTCAGGTACTTGCATTTTGTGCAGTTCTGCAAGCTTGAAAACATCTCTGTGAAATGTGCTCGGGCATTCGGTGCACTGGGCTACAGCAGAAGCCAACTGCCACAAATTGACGGGCGAAAACGCTAGAATGTCCAACCAGGTGTGAAACTCTTGCGGCAGTTGCCGCTGACGGGAGGCCTGACCCAGCTAATAATGCGGACGATGCAGCGGCAGCAGCAGCAGCAGCAGCAGCAGCAGCAGCAAACGCAACAATGACAACAGGTAAACTAAGGGTGCATTCTTTTGCCACGTGCTTGCCAAGAGCCCCTTGAGAAACTCCAGGAGCAGAAAGCTCATTTCAGCAGGTCGTGGATAGGTGCTAAGCTGATATGCGAACACTCACCATCTGTTTTGGCGGGAATTGTCTGCCAAGGCAGAATCATTCGCTGGGAAATCTGCTCCGGCAGGACTGCAAGATATGGCTCCACGAGATGGACATCAAAATACCTGGGCGTGCCAAAAATCACAAAGATCATCAAACTTCTCTTAGCCTTGACGCTTCTTAGCACTTAACTTCTGGCAGGAGGAACAAGATACCTCAGAGTAACCAAGACACACCCCAGTGGAGTTGTCAGGGCCTCGTTGGAAGAGAACCGCCTCGGGGGTATGCAGCATCTTGATCGCCTTCAAGAATGCCGAGCCAAACTCGGCGAGGTCACGAAAAGTCGTCCCTTTCAGCATAAGCGATTCAATGGTTCCGTAGAAATCTGTGACCTTGTCCATATCAGAGGAGGACAGGTCCAGCTTCCTGGGGCTGGTGTTGCTGATGAAAGGGAAGTAGTTGCGGCACAAAGCGCCCTCCACTGAGAACTTCGAACCAAGCTTATACAAGGCTTTTAAGCCCCACTCAGTGAAGGAATCGCAGATGCTGTCCTCCACATACGCAGTGTGTCTCTCCACCTCGGGCCTGTCCCATACACTGAAGAGACTGTAGCCGGGGTGCTGCTGGGCCCACAGGACAGCCTCCTTGAACCACTCATTCAAGATCTTGCCGGTGGCCTTGCCCACAGTCGTCACATTTGCGCTGTCATACCACACGCCTTGTTTGTCCTTCTTGTCCTTCGCTTAGCTAGGACAACAACCTCATAGATTGGGATGGGGATCCCTTGCTGCGGGGTTTGAGAAGAAATTATAAGATTCAAGGCTTAAATTTCGTATGATTCCCCATGTAGACGCTGGGTAGGGCGCTTTCACTTGTGGAGGTGTTGCATGGCATCATCACTATGAATTGACATTGCACAAACGTCCTCCAACGATGGGCGCCATGCCAGAACTGCTTGGTTTTCCCACGTTGGCGCTCCATCTCCCAAGGAGGGCAGCACAGCCTTTGGACCAAAATTCCTGGCGAAGTACCTGCAATCGTTTTCTTGAAACACATGCGCGACGGTGATTGTAGGGATGCCTAGAGGGATGACGGGGACCAGGCATTTCGGGGACCGGGGTATGCATGGTGTTAATAATTTGGGCAAGGGGATTAATCTGAAAATCTCACAGATTGGGACGAACTTTCAGTTTGGCAGACCCGCTGAGAAGGGATCCAGAGTCCAGCAGTGATGGGTTTTCTTCGAAAGCTTGGGGCTGCTGGTGCCGCTCATGTTGATGCCATGAGTTCCAGCTCATTATCGAACACTTCGAAATTGTTCTTGCTTGAACGTCATGGTTCTTTGATTTCAAAAATACTGAAGACGGTTCCAAATCGAAGGTTCACCGCACTCCAAACTGATTTGTGAATGGTCGTTCTATCCCTTCGCCAGGGTTTTGTTGCTTGGCTTTACAACGCAAAGCCTGTGCGATAGGAACGGGATCCAGAAGCCAGAAAAGTACAATGTACATGGCGGACATGAAGTGATCCAATCTAATCCAAGAGGTCTCAACAGTCGACTGGGGCATGAGCGGATCGTCCCCCTGTGCTCATTTACACTTGCCCCACTGAGGAGGGCGGGCCTGCCTGCTAGTTCTGCATGTTAGCCAAAGACATGAGAAAAACATGCTTGGAACTGAGAAAGGCGCTCGAAAAGCAGCGATGTAGGAACCGAGGTATCGCCATCGGGCAAGATCCTCAGTTGACCCTCTACCCTGAAATGGCATTGCTAAACCCAACAGACTGCACACATCCACAACGGGACCGAGTACGGAACTTGACTTACTCGTGCTTAAGGGAGTGGGGAAGTGGATCCTTGCAATACTCTCCCTATATACCCCAGTGATAATGATCTTCACATATACCCCTAGAACCTATACACCCGTGTACCGTTCTGAATACTACTCCACTTATCCCCCTAAGACTAAGTTGAAGCTTAGGATCTCAGTCACCACCAAGGCAGTATGCGTGAAGGAGAGGATCTCAGAGAACGGGTCGAGGCCGAAGCCTTGAATAGGGTTTAAGGGCCGAAGGGTCAAGGGTTTACGGGTTAGGGTTTTGGGATTAGGGATTAGGGTGATGGGTTGTTTGTGTTTGCAGCTCCTTTTTCACCTCTGCTGGGTCGAAGACGCGTTTGCGCAGGAGCTTCAGCAAGCACAGGGGCACAGGGTTTTGGGTTTAAGGATTAGGGTTTAGGGATTAGGGTTTAAGGATTGGGGTTTTGGATTTGGGGATTAGGATTTTGGGATTAAGGTTTTGGTTTCCAAAGCCTTGAATAGGGTGGCTCGCGTACTGCACTGTGAAGACGGCGTCGGCCGGGAGGCTGGGCATCTCCTTGCTGGAATTTAGGACTTAAGAAGTTGCATTGTTGTCAGAATCTGATCTATTCTATGCTGTCTGTTAGTGACTGTCTTGAATCTCCTTGATGTTGCGTGCAGCGCATGCAGTCTCGTCTGGAAGCCAAGGTTGCACGCATGTTGCTCGGAGGCGCTTATCAAGGCCATCCACATCCTGGACGCGAAACGCACGAGCAACAAGACTGTAAAGCGCCAGCCAGAAGCAACGCACCATCACGCTCGGAAATATGAACTTGTGTGTGGCAGAGGACAGGTCTATGAGGCTTCGTGTGACTTGAGCCACTGCCGCGGCACACGCCAAGTACAAACATTTGCAACAATGCTACTCCACATCCAAGGAGTTTTGCTGAGCCTCAATCTTAGAAGCGCAGAGAGCCCATCGAAGGCTTCAGGGGCCACCCGCGCATTGGGCTCCAGATCCTGTGAGGGCACAGGACAATGCCTGAATTGCTACAGTCTACTTGGTAGCCAACTGTATTATCAGTCTGCTATATGCAAGGGCTGAGAACATACTTCTACCGGCCCATTGTAGAATTCACCTGTTTGGGGCTTCTCTGGGGCACAGACTCGGAGCAGGACATGCTCCAGCTTCTGGAATGGGAGCTTCCTTAGAGATACAGCTCTCAGAGTCTCTCAAATATCTCAATGCAAGCAACCCGCCTCAGGCAGAAGCAAATTTTGATAACCAAAGAGCACACGAAATCTTTTGAAGGTTCCCTATGTCATCTGGACAAGACCTGCTGGGGGGGGGGTGAGTAGGGAATAGGAGAATATAGTACACAGGACTCATGTAGGCATTCCCTACTGACGCCCAGTAAGAAGACCATGCCTGGAATCTGTGACCTATGCCATGATGTACTGACAGGATCTAACAGGCCTAAAATCCTGACATCTCAAAGCCCCAGCCACCCCAACCCCAGACACAGCCCAAACCGTAAATGCTAGCTGCCACTGTCTTCTTCATTTTTCCTATACACTCGAAAAATATGTTGTTGTGACATTGTAGTTTCCATATCCTGCTGTTGCATTATTCCTATGCCCTCTGGAAAAGCCCTGGAGCCGTGATGGGCAAGCTGCTTCGCCACCGCATACCACAAGACCACTCCGGCCGCCTGAGTGAAGACTGAAATTCAACAGAGTAATGAGGGTTGTTGGTTACACCAACCCCAAAAGTTGACTCTGAATGGTTCCTCATGCTGGGGTGTGGGGTCAACAAAATCCACGTCTTGCAGTGGGTAGCTCTAAGCAGGCAGCCCCACAGGCATGTTTGCATAGACCAAGAAAAGCGAAACTTGGGTGACAGCCAGCCCAACCTACTTGCAGGAGCAAAGACGGGATCCTTTTGAAAGACAGCAAAGCTTGGACTGCTGTTAAAATACTCAGCATGGCATCTGATAAGCCCAGCACCCAAATGTCCGCAGGGTAGCTGTATTCGCATTCCTCTGGAAGAAGCACCAACTGACAGTACACAGCATGCTGCTGCCACCGAGAAGTCTATAGTAACAAGCCCAAAGCCTCTGCCGACCCTTGCAAAAAGCTCCAGGGTATTGAAAAGCACTCATGCAAGGACACCTCCTGCTGCGTGTGTATGGAAGGTCCATCAGCTTTGTTGGCGGAAAGTCCACTGCTCGTTCTCTTACTGGATCTTTAGTAGGGGAAATAGGAATATGTAATATAGGGATTATCTACGGATTATGTTCCCTTATTCCCTGCTTAGAACCGGCAAGTTCTTCAGTATCAGGGGTCGGGGTTTGCAGAGTTGCCCTCAGCCCCGGGCAGCCAACTCTGGCGCCCAGTACCTTCCGTAGTCTGCCATGACAATTTACTGGGGCAAATAAGGAATAAGGAAATCAACAATGCTTCGGTGCCTTTCAATCGATCATAAGGCGGCGGGAGCACTCGGGAGAGCCAATGACCTCCGACAAGTAAGCGCCTTCCTGCACAGGGCACATCGAGGAGGAAATGTTCGAGCACATCATAGCACGTAAACGTCCAACCCAAGGCCGAGCTCCCATTCTGCCTCAATGCAGCGAGCCGTGGAGTAGAGGTCGGCTATGACTAACCTCTGGACACTTCGGAATGGATTTCTAGTTTAACCCTCCCTGCCGCAAAGCAGGAAAGCCAGGACCAGAGCATGAATCTCTCCCGCAAGATGTCAGGCGATGAGACAACGAGGTTGTCTGGAGTGATGCCGCGGTGGACCACGCCTGTGGGAAAGGCTCCGTAAACGAAGCATATTCCAAGCATATTCCAAGCAATGCAAAGCTGATCAACATCTCGCTCAGGTAGTGACGGTGAGCATGCAGGTATGCCAGGGGTGCCAACAGCTGGCCCTCAGAGGCTGTTGGCGAGCTGTTGTTTTTTTTGCACTGAATGGGCTTCTTGGCTCAGGTCATCATGCCTCTGCGCTTTGGTGATGGATCTCTGCATGCTAAAAACCATGCGTTCGGCGGCTGGCAGCAACGTCCGCCGCAATGGGGATAGGCAAGCCACGGCGGGAGAACCTCTGCCAACATCGGAGATGCATCAACATCACTATTTCCACGTTGACAACCTCTTTACTGGTGTCGGTATGCTTCATGATATGGCCAGTATATTGGGGTTATATAGGGATAATGGAAAAGAAAATGGAAACTACTATATAGTATATTGGGGATCCTTATCTTGACCGGCTTGGTTGTGCTCTAGATGGTTTGAGCAGCTAAGGCTTGCTTTCTGTCCTAAGGGGACTGGACTCAGTCTGTTGCTTCCCCGCCTGCAAGCAGCGAAGATCCCATCCCTCAGGCTGCAGGGGAACCTGCCCCGGAGGCTCAGGTAGAGGGTTTAGGGTTTAGGGTCCGGCGAACTTTGGTTTACGTCCTTGCGATAATCTGAAGTCAAGGCTGGCTCCAGAAAAGAACAGCTAGTGGCCTGACACGAGTAGTGAAGACTGTACCATACCGGAAGGGCGAATACAATCCTCGCTTGGATTGGGCGCAATATGTCAAAAACACTATTCAGTTTGGCTGCAAGAGCCAACAATCAGGCAAACATCAATGCCTGGAGATCACGAAATACACAAAGTAATCATCCACGAACAGGTTGTGCGTCTTGATCTGAGCAGGACATCTGAGAAATCCTCGAGACCGCAGGTTTGCCCCTTGCCCTATGCCCTGCAGATTGGATCTTAACTTACTGGTTGTGAGCAGAGGGGAATCTACACTGGCCCCTGTTTCCATGTTCTTTTTTGTTCCCCCCTTCCCCTTCCCTGGCAACCAGTAAGTCAAGGGTTTGAGATCCTAAGGGCAGCACGAGGTTTGGATGCGACAGCTGCGAGAGCTTCTTCACTTCCTCAAAAGTGACGGGACCCCAGTACTAAGGATACTCTGGAAGCACATAGGATGACTCTGGCTAAAGCAAACACGGATGGAATCTGAACAAAAGACGGCCTCATCCTCTAGGTCTGACAAGCAAATGGGGCACACACCCCAAAAGCTGATCGTGGAACGCACCATTCAATTACCATTCACACCGAGCACTTCCAGTCTGCATATACCAGCACTCCTTCGAGAGCAGGAGCCACGATTTGCCTTGCTGCGAGGCATGCAGGCAGGAGTCTGCAAGGCCTCAGGCAGTCATGAACTCTCGCAGTTAGCCGTCTGAGCCGTCTGTTGACTGAGGCAGGCATGCCTTTACAGCTACTAGTACATGCACAAGCTCTGAACCCTGCTGCAACCTGCATGCACTTCCATACAGGAACCCAGCAAATGTCGAGGGACTCCAGGAAAATCAACTCTTCAAAAAAGCAGCCATGGCGACAGAGACTTCTGCTGAAATACTCAGACCGTGCAACCGTCGGGCTGCTCCCCTGGGCTGCCGCACTGCCCCACCAGCTTGATCGATGACTGGGCCGGCAGGCTTGAGACATGCTTCCAAAAAATGCCTGGCACCCTTAATGAACGCGCTGAGGGAGTGTGACGAATATGTACAGAAGTATTGGCTGGAATGAACCTCCTCGCCATCATCTTCTGTACAGGATTCGGTGTTATGGTGGTACTGACAGTGATTGGAGCAGTGGCCGGCCGTGGCTTTGACGACTGGGCGGTTGAGATTGGTTGCAGAGGTTGTAATGATGTTGAGATTCCTCTCACCTTGGTTTTCTTTTCTGAAATAACATGGTAATTTCTCTGAATAGTGGAATCCGAATATAGACCCAGTAGACTATTATTATAGCGACTGCGAGAAAGGTACCTCTAATTCTAGAAGCCTCACACGTGAAAGGCAACTTGATGAAGCTATGCCATTCATGAATGCCTCAGGTAGCGTTCTGTAGCATACTACACTACTTAGTTTTGCTCAGGACCTAACGTAGACCCCTGATTAATCAACCCCCTCCCCTTAACAGGGATTATGCTAGAGATCCTAGTATCAAGGCCCTTAACGGGAGGAGCTTTATTAATCATGGATCTACATTAATTGTTCAGGGTACTGCGTTGAGTGCCGCGCTCGACCAGCTTCACCACGAGGCCACCGGTCGGCACATCGAGCTTCTGAAGCCGAGCTCGCACTGTAAAGGGGTTCTATAGAGATCATATAGGGATTACCTTGGGATCATAACATTCCGTATATACTCCTCATATACTCTCCATATGATTCCCACATAATTCCCATATAGTCCCCCAATAATTCCCTGTATAATCCCCAGATAATCCGGATGATAATCCCCAAATAACCCCCGACTTAACCCAACCCCCTGCAAAATCCGCATATAAGCCATGCACAACCCCTATAACCCCTATATACCCCCTGTATAACCATGTATAACCCATAGATGGGCTATACTCTAAACTCCTAGCATCCCCCTTAATAAGCCATATATCCTCTTATGTATAACCCCCTATAGAAGCCGCCTTTAAGGACTTTAGACTATAGCTCATATAACCGCTATGCTTGTCACAATTGTGGATCTGGCCGTGGGCTGGTCCAAAAAGTGCATCTGCCGCTCGAGGCCTGAAGTAAGTCGAAACGGTTTCGAGCTTTGGGTTGAAGGGTTTAGGGGTTTTAGGGTTGAGGGGTTTCAGGGTTGAGGGGTAGGGGTTTAAGGGTTTAGGGGTATAAGGGTTTAAGGGTTTAAGGGTTTGAGGATCTGAGGATTTATTGTTTAGCGGTTTCAGTATTCAAGGGTTTGGGGCTTAGGGTTTAAGAGTTTAACAGGTTAAGGGCTTAGGTTGAAGC